GTTGTCCCCCACACCCAAAGCCATCAATGACATGAAGCATATGAAACATGCAGATATATAGCAAGAGGGCAAAAAGGAACAGATAGAAAGCATGCATGTCTATAAGTGCATTATATGCACACATGCAGGCCACCTCTGTGTACCTCATGGTGTGAAAGGGGATTAACTAAAATCAGTGGGGGCAGAGTCAACAGTCACTACCAGTGTGATCCTTTTTCATATGTTGGCTCAGTAAGGACAAAAGGCTTTGGCTTTGTTGGGAAATCTGACCCTACAGGAACTCAGTCTTATCAAAGAAGATTTAAGAAGTTCAAGAGTGGATCAGGGGCTATTACTTCCTACTTATTTCTGAACATTAAAAACCCCGGCTGAGGCCCCAAGATGTGAACACCCTGAACAAGCCCTGGAAGAGTCCCAACCCTTGGGTTTAAACACAGTCGGCAGCATTTCCAAGAACTCCTGTGTATGGCCCCATTAGTGACTGTAGCACACTCCTTGCAAAATCAAGCTGCTGGAGGAGCTTAAGATGGAGGTCCTGTCTCTTCTGAGGTATAGTCTTATAACTTTAGTCAGCCTTCTGGAAATGAGCTGAGTCTTACGCAGATTTCTGAATCTGCAACTATTTGCCCTGAGGCTCTTGGAGGTCTGCTGGCCACCAGCACTCTTAGCCAGCACTTTTAGCTCCTGTGGTAGCCCAGCAAGGCCTGAGATGCAAAGTCTGGAGCTGAGCACTGGGTTTGAGTAGGTGATCCTCATCTCTCCAGAACTGTAAAGAGGTACAGAGCACAACAAAACTCAGTTGCTATTGTGTCACCCTTTCTCTAAACCTCACATTCTAAAAGCTGATCTTGGCAGCCTTTTTTTCCACATGGGGTTTCCTCTTCAAGAATGGACATACATCTGAAAACTGAATGCAATCCTGCAAAGTCTTCCCAGCTCAGGCTCAAGGTTGATCCAGTGGTTTTAAGTTTGAATCAGTGTTCCAGAAACAAAAAGGTGACCTGGATGTCCCAGGACCAGAAATCACATAAAAGTCTTGGTCTTGTCCTAGGCTTGAAAGCTCTGAAACTAATTCTTGAGCTCTGAATATATAGAAGCCTTTGACAAATAGAGATTAACTGGGTAGCAAGTCTATACCAGATCTCTTCTCTGGAAGGTCAGGTTGGCTAACAAAGTCTGACCCCTTCAGACACAATGGAAGCTTGAGACCATCAAGTGAGACAGAATAGCAGATTTGGCTGGCTTGGTAGTATAGCCCTTAGGGATGGGGCTGACCAGAATGTTGGAAAATTCCAGGTTTTGGACTCAGCTGAGGATATTTCTTCAAGGTTCAACTAGGTGCAGTGAGACTTACAAGAATGCAATGCACAAGCAGAAAAGAGTCTCTGCAAAAGAGTTCAATGTAGATACACTTCCTACTTTTGTGTTGCCCTGTTTTACTTGGCCACTGGCTGGGAAGATACCAGCATTCCAGTTGCTGGACACCCCCCCATTAGTTTTTCACAAATATATCCAGTATAGCAGCTTGTGGAAATGTGCAATCAAATCCTCTGGCCTTGAGCTGCACTCCACAGAGATGTCTACATTTTTAAGATAAGTTACCAACTGGGCTCCATGGTAACAGCTAGCAGGGGGAGGAAAGAAAGGGGACAAGAAGCTCTCTCCTTCTCAGGTGTTGTCCTTGAAGGGTTAACTAGCCCAAAATAGTGAAAGAAAAAGCTGCTTTTATGTGAACTTCTGCAGACTGTGAACTTCTGAGCCCCTCCCCTTACATGCTGGGCATAAACTCTGAAACTACCTGAATTCGGGGTTCAGGGGATTGATTGATTACAGCAAAAGCTTTGCCCTCTGAACCTGTCTACGGCCAAATAAAACTGTTTCCTGCTATCTTTGGTGCCTTGCCTCGTCTGTTCCTACAACACTAAATGCATCATGGGGAAATATCTCAACAGAGTTACATCTTTAGAGAAAGCACAGACTTCATTTTGGTTAAAGATATTTTGGCAAAGTCTCATCTACAGGAAGAAGTTGGATTAGAACAATGATTTTCAAACTTCTGTGGAACCCTAGGGTTCTTCACAATGTTCTAGGGATCTTCCAAGAACCTCAAATGCTATTAACTCTTTAAAAAATGTTGAAAAGGCATACCATACTCAATGCTTAATATGCCAACTTTTAACCTATTGAACGAATTAATTTGTGCAGCCAGGTGAACTTGCTTTTATGGGGCCCTCAGGACCAAGTTTCTTCTGCTTCCTGTGTGCAAGTATCTGCATTCATTGTGAATGTGTTGGTAAAAAAGAAACTATGTAATTCATTTAAATCCTGGCCTGCAAGTATAGTGATGCCAGCCTCTCAGAGCATGCACTTATCAGCATGGCACTAAGGGTGGATGACATATTATGTCATGATATCATAGTGAATCTGGGTTTCTTGCTTATTCTAGGAGCATCTTTGATTGGTTCTTTATTAGGAATATGAGTTGTTAGATTTGTTAGTGATTCAACTTGGAAAAATGCTACTGTTCTGTTTTAAAAATTCTAGTAACTACATCTTTAAATTGAAAATACCCTGAGAGTTCCAGGGAAGTCATTAAAAACACACTGTTGCTATTTACAGCAACTACTGGTGTATATCAGGCTGTTCTCACCTTTGTTCCCACAAATGAACTGGATGATGGTGCAGCTCTTCACCATATCCTGTGTTGTCAAGTTTTTGTATATATGTTTTAACTTTTTAGGGCAATTATTTTTTATTTTAACTTGAATTTATAATGTTGTAAAAGGGCTCTTCTGCTAAAAGCAAGTTTGAAAAGCACTAACTTATATGATATTCAGTTGTACATGGTCATGAAAATGTAATTTATCTAAACAATTGATAAGAATAATTTTGGTAAAATCCTCTGCCAATTTGGTGTGTGTGTGTGTGTGTGTGTGTGTGTGTATTGGGATGGAATGCAGGGTCCTGCATTATCTAGGTAAACTCTACCATTGGGTCACACCCCAGTCCTCCTCTGTCAATTTTTAATGGTGTTATTTTCTGGCCCTTATTCAGCAGCTGGAATAATATGATTGTTACAGAAGTGCTGAAGTATTGCTGTAGACTCCAACTGCATGCAGCTGACAAAGATTTGAGTTCTTTACAGAAACCATCAACCCAAATGGCAACCCTCTTCCCTAAAACTCAGAATCTTGAAAGGAGGGGTATACTCCCCTTTTTCCTGGGGAACTCTTACCCTGAATGTATGTGCATACACCTGTGGAGTTATTCTCGCTATGTGTTGTGAGATCTACTTATTACTTTCCATCTTGGCAGAAGTGATCTATGAAATAAAAAGAAATGATGGGTTCAGGGTCCCTCTTGGTATCTTCTGCAAGAGGTAAGCAAGGAGGGTAGGGCCCTGTGGGTCTACTTTAGTTGGCACAGGACACCTCTGGAGGGCTAACTCCCTCTGGGGACAGTTTGAATAGGAAGCCAAAAGAGTGTGCAGGGCAGGGAAAGGAGTCCCGCAGACTGGTGGGGAACATCATGGTTTATTGGGAAGGCTGAGGACCCTTCTAAGTGAACCTGCATCTCCACTTCTTGGCATTGGAGCCAGTGCTTGCCAGGTGGTAGCATCCCAGTCTTCTAGTTTTCTGGATACTAAGTGGTTCAAGTTTTTGCATTTCCTTTGGTGACCCAGACTTCAAGGGTTAAGTCCAGCATTAGGTGAGGCACAAAACCCAAGAATATCCACATCCTCATCTTTCTCTACCAGCCCTTTTCACCTGAAGGTCATCATTGACCTACTGATAAACTTCAATTTCTGGGCCTTAAAGGGCCTGACAAGGGGGACCTGCTTCTATGCTTCATCCCCATTCCCCAACACATGAACTTCAATCCTAAAAAATCCATCTTGATACCAGGCACACACCATAAGGCCAGCTCATTGGTCACATGGCTGCCCCTTACCAGTTCTTCTTCAGTTCCACACACAGTTTACCTGCCAGGAGATGTACCACCCTGTTCCCCTTTGCCACTCTAGAATAAGGAGGTGGTAAGAAGCCACTGCCTTTCTTTATCTCAGCCACACAATCTGCATGCTGAGCCTGGAGGCCTTCGTTTTCTTTTGTAAAGAGATGGAGGTTCCTCATCCAGGGACTGGATGAGACTCTGGATGCCTAAGAAAGCAGAGATTGGTCACTCCATGCCTGAGGCTGAGGCTGGCCCAATGGATGCAAGGTCTTGAACTAGCAGAGTTTCCTAGGCTTTGGTCCAGAGATGACTTTGGTACTCCCTTGCCTTCTCTGTGCCTAAATGCATAGAATAGACTCCTGGGAGCAGTGGACAGGACTGCATTACATTCTTTAGCATTTCCTTTTAGAGTGGTAGTCATAAACCACAGGCTCTCACAGCTGCTCCTGGTGTCTACCCTGTGCCAGCACATCATGTCCCCACCTGCTGTCTCTCCTTTAGTGAACATCAAGCCTGGGCTGAGCCTGGGAAACACAGGAGTATCAAGAGTACCTGTAAGCTCCACCCACAGGAGATGATAAGGCTCTAAAGCTTGGGCAGGAGGGGCCCAGAACACTAAGGACAGGAGGAGCATGTAGGGGAACAGCTGGGGTTCTGCTCAGTGCAGTTCTGTGATGGTTCCTTGTGATACAATCTCCCTCATTCACAGGCATTTTTCCCCCCCAGGGAAAATGATGGAGTGCGAAAGGAGGAGGAGAAGGAAGAGGAACAAACCCAGAGTTTGCCATCAACAGATGATGGGGGCCTAAGATTTTGTTCTGTTGGGAAATGGCAAGCTGTAAGATAGGCTATAGAGCAGGATTGGGCCTCAGGGCTGCCCCAATGCATTTTTCTTTTGCTTAATGGAAAGCCCCAGATGTGATGCAGGGACCCAGAAAACCCCACTGAAGGAGGACTGAATTTCATATGATGCAAAACTGGCTTCCCCAGTGGGGAATTTGGGGTCTCCTTCAGAATAAACTTCCTCACAAGGACCCAGACTGTACCTGCTTCACCTCGGAGTGCCTTCTCCACTGCAACCCCTCTCTCTTCCAGCTGCCTCTGCTTTTCTTCCACCTGCTCCAGCTGCCGTTGGATGATCTGTCAAAAGACAGCAGTATGAGCACTCAGCTTTCTAGTTTTCAGGAGGAAAACTAAACTTGGCAAACTCAAGGAGGGAGAAAGGAAGTTACGTCGAGACGGTGGAAAGAGCTCTAATTCATGGGCTGCATCCCACTTGGATCTGAATCCCCCAGGGCCTTGTTACTTAGCAGACTCTGGGCCCAATGTTCTAAGTCCATGGAATATGGAAGCAGCTGAAACAGATGTCAGCCCTCTCTAGGGCAGTTAAAGGGCAGGAGGAAAAGAAATTCCTGCAGGAAGCCTTTAATACTATTACCTCACAATTTCTTTCTTTTTTGGGCAGGATACTGGGGACTGAACTCAAGGGCACTTGACCACTGAGCCACATTGCAGCTCTATTTTGTATTTTATTTAGAGACAGGTTCTCACTGAGTTACTTAGCGCCTTGCTTTTGCTGAGGCTGGATTTGAACACATAATCCTCCTATCTCAGCCTCCTGAGCTGTTAGGATTACAAATATGGGCCACCACATCCGGCACCTCAGAATTTCTTTCTTTTTTTGACACTGGTGATTGAACCCAGGGATGTTTTACCATTGAGTTATATCCAGTCCTTTTAATTTTTTTAAGTTGGTGAGGTTGGCCTTGAACTCATGATCCTCCTGCCTCAGTCTCCCAAGATCTTGGGAATACAGGTGATGCTACTTGCCTGGCTACCTCAGATCTTTCTGATAACAAGACTGCTAAACTGGATTAAAAATCTTGTCTCTACAAGTTAAAAAAAAAGTATAGAATGGTCTAGGATATGAGGCCTTAAGACAGAGGCTGATACCTACAGGATAACTCTAACCTCTCCCACAAAGTCCAAAGTCCATGGTAGGTCACAAACTGATTTTTTCCCCCTTTGTACTAGGTATTGGATTCAGGGGTACTTTACCACTGAGCTATATCCCTAGCCCTTTTAATTTTTTATTTTGAGACAGGGTCTCTCTAAGTTGCCCAGGCTGGCCTCGAACTTGCGATCCTCTTGCTTCAACCTCCTGAGTTGCTGGAATTACAGTTGTATGACACTGTACCCACCCACAAACTGACTTCTGACACTATTGYTTACAAGTAAGAGAACTAATTGACTCTAAAATGACTATTCTAGACCACAGAATTTAGGAAACTCAAATGTGGTTCTTCCCTTTTTACTGATGACTTTGCAAGGATGGGGCCACTACATCTGCACTGAGCTGTACTTTGGGGCTGTCATCTCAGATGACAGGGACAACTCATCTGCTTCAACTCTGCCTTCTTCACCCTCCTTCCTTGTGGATAGGGGTCAACTGGGTGTATACAAAATGTGGTCACATGGCTTTCCACCTGTGTGTTTTGTCTGTCTCACTGTCTGTGGTTGTACCTGGGCTCGGTGGAGCCGCTTGAGCTCCTCTTGCTTGGCCTGTCTCCGAGCTGCCTTCTGCACACGCCGGGTCAGCTTGGCATTCAGCTCTTCTTCTGTGTAGGTTCTTGGCTAGTGGGAATGAAAAAGATCTTCTCAGTCAGGTCTGAGATCAGTTTGTGCAGCAGCCTGGCAGGGGCATGGAGTAGACTGACTCCTAAGTGGGAGCTGGTGGCTGGCATACACCAGTGTGAAGCTCCCCCACTGCAGCTTGACCAGAGACTTCCCTGGCACCTTTCCCTGTTGGAGCTCCAAATGCCACAGGACACATCTAGATACCCCCAAGGTGAGACATTTCCCTTCTGTGACCAGGAAAGGAGGCTATGTGGGGAATGAGTATTGGGAAGTTAGAGTATTAGGAGCCTCCTTTATCATTGAGATCACTTTGTTTCCTATTTAAGGAATTCTGCGCTTTTTAAAGACCTTGTGGGAGTAAAAAATGTAAGTAAAATGTTTCCCAAGCCTCATGCTTCTGAATAGATGGGGAAGGAAAAAAAAAAAAAGGATAAATCAGAATCCTTTTATTTTCTTGCTTGGAATCAAAAGCCACTTTCTTCAGATGAGTGGTATTCATGAGGTTCCTTTAAGAACATCTGAACTAGAAAAAACAGGAATGCTTCTATTTTAAATTTGGGGAAACCCCAAACCAATATAGGCTGAAGAAGGAACTGTGGAGGTGACCCTTGATGGCCTCTGGGGATTGCATAGGCAACAGTTGCCACAAAAGGGAAGGGAGGAAGTGGCCTGGCCAGGTGGTTGTGGCTAGTGCCATCAAGAATGGAGGAGGTGACTGGGCAAATTTAATGCAGGTTGAAGGCTATGGGGAGAATCCCATGCTTTGCATAGACACTGGGAAACCCCTGAGAGGTACATGTTGTAGATTTGCCTTCATTCACAAGGCCATCTGTATTGTTTCTTAAAAAAACAAAACAAAACAAACAAAAAAACCAAAAACCAAACCAAAACAAAAAAGAAACCAAATTAGGAGATTTTATAGATTTTAAAGAAGGCTTCCAAATTCAACTCAAAGTCCAGGCTCTTTGTCTTTTGTCTAAGAGTTTTAAAGACAGTGGAGTGTCAAGTGAAGAGGCAACAGGCAGTCCTTAAGGACAGCTGTGGCATTCTAGTGCCCTGGGAAGCTGAGGTCTCAGTCCACAGAGCTGAGACGAACAACCCCTCTTATTGTGGTGCCCAGACCCACAGGGGCAGCTCTGCCTCCCTCCCAGGCACCTGGAGCATTACCACATGCACTCCAGCCAGTGAAGAGCGGGTGTGTCTCATCCTCCTTCTTCCTCATGACATAGCTAAAGGAGGTCTGGTGGCTACAGCTACATGCATGTATGAACACAGTTAGTGAGGATGTGGCCACAGGTCCTGGGCTCAGGTTGCTCTGGGTGGTTAATCACAGACAGGCATGCAATGACGACCAGCCATCAGGAATGAGATACTACCTTTGATGAATAGGATCTCCTGAATGCCAAGGCGTGTGGTACATAAATTGACTTTTAAGGGGATGGCAACGGAAAACAAAACAGAACAGTAATGACAATGATGATTTAAAAAATTAAAATGAAACACAGAAATGGAGTAAAATTAGAAATTTAAAACAAACATACAGGACTTAAACATGATTATTTTCCACAATGTCACACAGGACTGTGCAAGGAGAAACCTGCATGAACAAACTGCATGTACAGCTGCATCTTAGTGAACACTGGTTTTGAGTAAGACTGGGGTTTAGTTTTCTCCTGAGTAGAAACAGCTTCTTTATCATTCCCCCAAATCTTCTCTTTTCTCAGTATCCCTTTCTCCTTTAGTAACCCATTCCTTTACTTTTGGAAATTTAGAACCCTTCCTGCTGCTCATGTATGGGGGTGGATGGAGGAGATTCCTGATGTCAGACACAGATAAGAGGGAAACGAGGTACTAAACCTCATACCCTCTCCCCAAAAGCTCTCTCCTGGCATGTTTCTAAACCACGGGACACAGGAATACAGGCTACTTCTTGATTATACCTGGTGAAGGGAACTGAAATAGCATAAATCACTGCTATTTGCCCAAAGTATTTCAGATAGCAATGTTAACTGACTTTTTACTCCATTAAACATTGAGTGGAGCTGCTCAAGTACTGGGGTCAGTTACATTTGCTCCTCTGGTCTTCTTATCGGTTGTATTAAGTAGTTAAAAGGCCATCAGGGAGCCAGGGAGGGAGGTGGCTTAAGTCTGGTAGCCTATAGGATAAGGAGATTCTGAGAGCAACAAGAAGGCCTGCAGTACCCTGCTGCCTGTGCTGCTTCTGATTGTCATGACCGTGACATAGTGGGGACTCACATTTCACATGCACATTATCCTGGAAAAGAATGAATCTGCCTCTCAGAATAGGCACCTTGCCTCAAACTCACTTCTTTCACAAAGCAGACTGAAAGGAAGATTTTCATTATTAGAAACAGGCTAGTTTTAAAAAGGGAAAGGACAAATGATGTCCCTGAATAGCATGGGAAAAACTCATAGTAGGATTATAGGTTAGGTAACTACACCTTAAGGAACAGCATGGACATCTGTACCTGGCTGCTGTAAATATTACGGGGACAGGGCAGCACCCTCCTTCTCCATAATTTACCCATTTTGGGGACTGGTACCAATTCAGAATGAAATCATGACACAATTTTCATGTGCCCAAGAGATGAGGCCAGCCACAAGAGCTGACATTGTGGCTCTGAAACAGAAAGAGAGGCTGTCAGAGAGCAGGCCCACCACCCTCGGATGGGCCAGGGTGGCCAAGAAACAGCCAAGTTAGTTGTATTTAAAGTCAAATGGAAGTAAAGAAAAGAGGTCAACATGAGTTATTTCTTGTTGGCATGGCTGTAGGTGTTTTAAAAAATCCTGCACTTGCATTTTTCAAACAAAAAAGTTATTATTATTATTATTATTTTAAAGATTTCTTTTTTAGTTGTAGAGGAATACAATACCTTTATGTTTTTATGCGGTGCTGAGGATAGAACCCAGTGCCTCACACATACTAGGCAAGCTTCCTACCACTACAAACCAGCCCCAAAATACAAGTTATTTTTAGTTTTTTTCTTTTATTATTATTATCAAAAGACCCTGTCACTTGTTTCACCAGTGCTTGACTCAGGGCTGTGTCTGAGATACAAGGGGAGCTATCTCTTCCATCTCTGCTACACAGTGGCTCTGTGGCTGGGAGCCTGGCCTCTTCATTCAAGCCAAATCCCATTTTTACTTTTAGCTCCCTTGCTCCTATACTTCTTATTTATTATTTATTTATTTATTTATTTATAGTTTTCGGTGGACACACATCTTTATTTTATTTTTACTTGGTGCTGAGGATCAAACCCAGCGGCCCGCGCATGCCAGGTGAGCGCACTACCACTTGAGCCACATCCCCAGCTCCTCCTTATACTTCTTATTCTGAAAAACTTCAATCCTACAGAGATGTTGAAAGAGAAAGAAAATGAATAGCTGAATACCTATCACTTAGATTTCCCCAATGTTAACATTTTACAGCATGTTTCATAGGCATGTGTGCATGTATCTAATCTTTATATTATATGCATACACACCTTTTTTGTTTTTGTTGGTACCTGGAGTTGAATCAGGGGTGCTTTACCATTGAGCTGCATCCTCAGCTCTTTTCTGTTTTTTTTTTTTTTTTTTTTGGTACCAGGGATTGAACTCAGGGGCACTTGACCACTGAGCCACATCCTCAGTCCTATTTTGTATTTTATTTAGAGACAGGGTCTCACTGAGTTGCTTAGCACCTTGCTTTTGCTAAGGTTGGCTTTGAACTTGTGATCCTCCTGCCTCAGCCTTCTGAGCTGCTGGGATTACAGGTGTATGCCACAATATACAGCTATAATCTTTTCTTTTTCTGAATTATTTGTAGATACCATAAACTTTCACATTGAAAAATATTAGCATGTACTTCCTCCTAAGAACAGAAACATTTTCCTACATGATTACAGTACCTCTGTCACTTGCAAGAAACTTTATGTTGATTGGATGGTACATTTATACATACTACACCATTCATGATCAAATGTCTTTAACTTTTTTAAAAAATATTTATTTTTTAGCTTTAGATGGATACAATATATTTATTTCATTTTTATGTGGTGCTGAGGATTGAACCCAGTGCCTCACATGAGCTAGGTGAGCACTCTACCACTTGAGCCACAACTCCAGCCCTCTTTAACCGTTTTAAAAGCATCCTTTATAGCTGTTTCTGTCCTGCCTTAGCCTCCATGTCTTGAAAACATGGCGTTCTGCTTTCACTTGGTTCACCTCCACGTCATGGCAGGAGCTGGGTTAGCAGCCTTGTAGGCCCTGCCTTATCTTCCACATTCCCTATGTGATCTCTAGTGAATGGCCCTGTCCCTATAGAGTATGCCTGGTAATGTGAGGTCTCCATAGTCCTGTGGTTCTAGGAATCTATAATGGGGTCCTTGACTCGCTCACAAGAATAGGGAAATGAATTTCTTTGTTTCTGGTGCCTGTGAGGCCCTAGGAAAGTCTGTCGTCAATGGGAGGTGGAACTGAGATAACAGCCTTGGCATAGCCTAATGTGGGAAGACTGCTAATCAGCATACTGTCAACATGCTTCATTAATTTGTGGAGAAGCAGTGGAGAAACTTGACCATAATAGCAATCACAGCTGTATGGTTTTTTTTAAAAAACTTTATTTTATTTATTTATTTTTTATGTGGTGCTAAGGATCAAACCCAAGACCTTGCATGTATGAGGTAATCGCTCTATCGCTGAGCCATAACCCCAGCCCCACAGCTGTATGTTTTTGACCAACATGACATGAACTATCTGAACATCTGCACGGTCACCATGGAGGTTAAGAGAAACATTCTCCTTTCTTCACAGACCTTAAAAATCCCAAGACAGAACTGGGTTTTGGCTCAGTGGTAGAGTGGTAGAGTGCTTGCCTAGCATGTGTGAGGCACTGAATTTGCTCCTCAGCACCACATAAAAATAAATACATAAAATAAAGGTATTGTGTCCATCTACAACTGGAAAAAAAAAAAAAAGAATTCCAAGACATCCCCAATGTATTTAGAGACCTACATGCAAATCCAGAAGCAACCCTCAGTTCAGAACCAACAGTCCTGCCTGGGAGATTCAGCAGAGGGTACTCAGGATGCACATAAATTGAACCCCCAAGGGAAAACATACAAGACTGCTAGGCCTTAACTCACTGCTGGCCTGGTAGTGACATATGAGACCTAACTCTGTAGATAGGTGAAGCAGGAGGAGACAACAGTCATTTTAGGTTCCTCTAGGATAATACAGAAAGAGCTGATGCAGCCTTAGAGACAAACACATCAAGAATGAGATGGGAAGTAAGCTGACTATCTTTCTCCAGTTTTCTAAGTTATTATTATTATTATTTTGGTACTGGAGATTGAACTCAGCCACTGAGTCACATCCCCAGCCCTACAGAGACAGGGTCTCATTAAGTTGCTTAGCACTTCTCTTTTGCTGAGGCTGGCTTTGAACTCATAATCCTCCTGTCTTAGCTTCCCAAGCTCCTGGAATTATAGGCATGTGCAACAACTTTGGGCTTGACAAGTTATTATTAATATTATTTATTATTTCTTGGTACTTGGGGTTGAGCCTAAGGTATTTTACCACTGAGTTACATCCCTAACCTTCTTTATTTTTTATTTTGAGACAGGGTCTTACCAAGTTGCTAAGGGCCTAAGTTGCTGAGGCTGGCCTGAAACTTGCAATCCTCCTGCCTTAGACTCCCAAGTTGTTGAGATTATAGGTTGTGCCACTGTGTCTGGCTCAGTTTTCCAAGTAATTAAGAACTGAATCAGGCTGGGAGGAGGAACTTGGAAGCAGGCTTCAGAAGGTATCTTTGTGAACTGGTACACAGAGAGGCACAGAACCACCATGGTCTTCCCTGGGGTGTACTGGCTACCAGTTTAAAGTTTTTGATGAAGAGGGACTCAAGCCAAAGTTCCAAAAGGCCTTGTCAGAAAAGCACATGAAGGCTGGGATTGTAGGTCAGTGGTAGAGTGCTTGCCTTGCATGCATGAAGCACTGGGTTTGATCCTCAGCACCACATAAAAATAAATAAATAAAATACTGTGTCCATYGACAACTAAAAATATATACATAAAAAAGCACATGATATTCTGGGGTATATTTTTATTCAAAAAGGGAGGTAAGGGGCAGCAGGGCTATTACTCCTGGAAAGGTAATGTCTAGCTCTGTCTTAGACAGAGGGCAAGATGTAACTGGGCTCACACAGAGCATCACTGCCCCTGTCTTGCTGCTGAGGCCTTTATGGATCTTAGTTCCCATATAAACACTGTTGTTGTCACATAGATGCCCCACTAGAACTTTCTCTAGTTCTCCCTCCTCCAACTTCACTGTATTGAGACAAAGCTATAAGAATCTTAGAAAACAAAACAAAACAAACAACAACAACAATAACAAAAAAAAACCTAAATGAACACCAGAGGAAGCCAGTGATGAAGGGACTTTGTATACAGAGAACTTTGCTTCTTAGGAGACCTGAGTGGCCATACTTCCTAAGTTCTGGAGCAGCAAGAGAGCCCATGTCAGACCTGACACATACCCAAGTCAGTTTCTTAGATCAGTTCTTAAACAGGAAAACAAACAAACAAACAAAACCCTCCTCTAATTAACAAATCTACCAAGCAGGCAGGATGATGAGGCCCACTCCGGAGTAAGCAACCTGGTCCCACCTCCTGTTCCACTGCCTGGTGCTCTATCCCAGCCTCTATGACCCTGGAGTGTGAGCAACCCTTGTCCCCTTGCCTGGATCCTGACAGATACTGCCTGCATGGATTGCTGAGGAGAGAAAGAAGACAGTGCCAGGCTGTTTCCTAAAGGCAACATAAAGGTTTCCATGTGGAATATCTCCAGCTTCCTTCACAGGAACTGAATGAGGGAACTCTTGCCAGGAAAGCAAATACCTCTCTCCCCTTTAAAAGGCCTGAGGGAAGACTTTTGTGGCTCTTCTTCTGACCCTGGTCTGGGATCAGCATTCCACTATCTGCCTGCTGGAATCATAGAAATGCACTCACTCTCCACCCTGGTTTTAGATCGGCTTTCCCTGTTTTCTACCTTACCAGAGGCCGAGACTCGCCAGCCTGCCAAAGTCCCTCCAGTGAGTGGACCCACCCACCTCTCTCCTGGACTTCTGGGAGGACCTCTCAAGGATGTCATCACTGGAGAGGTCTGAGTCCTCCGAGAAACTCAGCTGGCGCCGGAGCTGCAGCTCTGTGAGGTAAAAAGAGGCAGAGTGAGGACAGTGACAACACTGACTTCCACGCTCATTTGAGCAGATCAGCTGGAGGTTTGGTTTCAAGTTTAAGTGATTTTCCTCTTACATTGGGGTGTCATGAGCTTGGGCTCTGATGCTTATTACTTCAGGGGCAGAGCCACTTGGAAGAGCTGACAACTCTGGACACCTGTCTGGGACCACCAGGCAAAAGTGCCCTCTGCCCCACTCAAAAGCAGGGCCATTTTTGGGGTAATGTGACTTTAGGAAGGGTACCAACTTCCAAAGACTACCCTATCTAATTTCAAGSTGATTTTAGAGTTATTTTATGAGGCAGGAAAATGCTCAGGGCACTCATGGTTCAGTTCCCGTCTCTCTTAAGAACCTTTGGGGGCTGGGGATGTGGCTCAAGCGGTAGCGCGCTTGCCTGGCATGCGTGYGACCCGGGTTCGATCCTCAGCACCACATACCAACAAAGATGTTGTGTCCGCCGAGAACTAAAAATAAATATTAAAAATTCTCTCTCTCTCTCTTTCCTCTCTCACTCTCTCTTAAAAAAAAAAAAAAAAAAGAAGAACCTTTGGGCCATCAGCATGTGAAAGTGGATCTTTTGAGAACAACAAAATGACCCAAGAATGTACCCCTTACACTCTGTCCTATGAAGATCTCTCTGCTGCTGATGTACCTGCTCTTACAATAGGAGACATCCTGTGCTTGCCAGAGTCCACAGTAGCTCTGCTGGATGGGGTGCTGGAGGAGGACTTCTCGTCGCCCTTTTTCTTCTTGTCCTTCTTGTACCCAGAAAAGACTGACTTCCACAAGGACTTGGGTTTGGTGGCTGCTTCCTCTGGAAGGCGTGAGCTGGGTTTCTCTGTGGGTCGGCCCTCCCCTTTGGACTTCTTCTCTTTCTTGTTTCTGTGGGGGGAGAAGAGGGATGACCTCTTCTTGCTCTTCCCACTGGAGCCCTCAGAAGAGGTGACAGAACCATCTGGGCCCCCTGAGTCTGATGGAGGGGAGAGGACCTCCTCACTAGTGGCTTCATGCTTCAGAGTGGGCTCCTCAGAGCCTTTGAGACCTGGGGGTTTGGAGGACTCTGTCAAAAGTTGTTTGCTCTGGGAGGGTGCTGAGGAAGCCTTGCGGGACCTGGAGGCCCCAGCTGCCATCTCCATCTCCTGCATCCTACTCAGCTGCTTGGCCATGGCGTCTCTCAGTGCCTGGCTCTTCACAGACTTCTCCCGGGCTCGCATGCGTTCCTCAGCCAGCTCCTTAGCTTCAGGAGAGACCAAGGGCAGTCCCCTCTTCTGCAGCTGGGCACTACCCTCCAGAGAAGGCAGCCGTCCATTCTCTTTGGCCAGGGGTGGGTGGAGGGCCTTCTCTGGGCGGGTCCAGCAGGAAGGGGGTGTGAAGAACTTTTCCTGCAGACTTGAGTCCTCAGTTTTGTCATCATAGGTGTCCTCCACATCATCAGCAAAGGGGATTTCATCCACACTCTCTACAAATGACTTCCGCACTTCCTCCCTGGGGGGTTGGGCAGGCTCTCGTGGGGGCCTCATAAATGTGGCAGGTGGAGGAGGTGGGATAATGGAGGATTTTGGCTCAGTTTCTTTATGCTCAAATATCTGATAGGGCTTTCTCTGGAGGGTGGCGGGCTCCTCATCTGGGGGTGGGGGTGGTGGTGGGCTTGAAGGTGGGGTGAGCATGGTGGAGTCTGAGGTGTTGAAGCTCTGGCTGCCCAAGGTCTTCATGTTTGAGGAGCTCCCATGAAGGCCCAGGCCAGAGCTGCTGGACAGATCCCTCCGCTCTTCATGGGAGCTTCTCAGCTCTCTGTCAGATGGAGATTTGGGAGTCAGCAGGGAAGGCTGCTCACCATCTGACTTTGGCAAGCCCAGCCTTTTAGGAACAGATGGAGGTTTCAGAAGATGAAGTCCTTCATCCTGAGGGGACTTCTCAACTGAAAAGGATTTTAGGGATACTGGCTTGAAGGCAGGTGAGGGGAAGCTGGGCTCAGGCCCCTTCTTTCGCTCTACAGGTGTGAGTCCCAGACTGCGGCGGATCTCAGCGCTTTTCATCCAAAACTCCTCCACCAGGTCACTCCGTTTCAGGGCTTCATCCACAGCAAGAGGGCTGTCCAGTCTGTTCTTGGGATCAGCTTGGCTCTTCACAGGTAAGGGGACCAGAGGGGTAGAAGCTTTGGCTGGAACAGGCTGGAAGCGTATGGGGGACTCAGTGGGGGATGGGATGGTGGCCTCTGAGGAAGGCTGAGGCTGGGAGCAAATAGGGAGCTGGGTGGAAGGGGATGCAGCAGGGGCCACCTGAGCCACAAACTGTGAGCTCACAGGTGAGGTAGGTGTCCTTGGTTCTGGCAGAGATACAGGCTGCGACCGGATGGGAGGGGGTGCAGTCTTCTGATCCGGGGGAGCTTCAGCTTTGGGCTTCTCTTTGGGGAGCAGAGGGTCAGGGAAAAAGCGTTCCTCAGGGGATTTCATCTTGGTGGCAACAGAGGCAAGTGGGGTTTGGGGTCCCTACAGAAAGGCAAGACAGAAGCTGCTTAGAAGTGAACGTTTTCATGGTCAACAACATTCTTTATGGAATTTTCCTCTCAAAGGGCCTGTGTATGTTGAAATAAATTTCTCTCTCTATCATTTTATCTATGATTCAAATGGCTCCAGGAAAAACTTCCTCATTTTCTGCTCTATTTGTCAAATTTTTAGAACCCCTCTTAGTTTGAATAGTCTGAGCTTTCAGGGTTTGGTTCATCTCAAACACACCCTACTTTCTCTGTCCACTGAAATGAACAATGGCAGAAAAACACTAATGAATTTGGCTCTCACCCCAACTAGCAGTTCCCAAAGCTCCAAGATCCCTGACATGCCATCACAGGGACCAGCACTGTAAGATTTAAAATAATTACTATGTGCAGATGTTTTATAATCACATTGCCTTTCCCAGGAAGCTTAAAGATGCACACAGAGTCTATTATAGCCCTATCTCAGCATCTCAGTAAAATAAAGCTCTTGTTTCACAGAAAAAAATCACTAAATCACTAGTGGAACATACTTCTAATTGGGTGGGAGGCAGAGTAGTGCTGAGGCAGGAAAATTCAAAGTTCAAGGATAGCCTTAGTAAATTAGTGAGACTCTATTTCCAAATAAAATAATAATAATACAAAAGTCTGGGGATGTTGTTCAGTAGAGAAGTGCTTGTCTAGCATGTGTCAGGCCTTGGGTTCYACCCTCAGTACAGTGAAGAAAAAAAAAAAAAAAGAAAATCACTGAATGATGCCATGCTGCCATAATCCAAAAACCTAGGTCTAGTGTCTTGGCCTACCACCCTGATCTTTCCTCCAGGCAGTATTTAAATAGTTATACATTTATTTTAACATAAAGAAAAATATATCTATTATAATAAACCCATGATCCTATAAATATGACTTTAATTTAAAAACAAATTTGTCCATACATCAAGAAGACTGAGTTAGAATCCCAAGCCCACTCCTATTATATAATCAACAGCCCCACTTAACACAAGGAGTGAAAAATATGTAATTTTCCTCAGAATGGGGGGTAGTAGTTTACTTCACCTCTACTTCTTGAGGGGCTCACACCATGGGCCCAAAGACAGGAGTTCCATCAGTCCCTTGTCCCTCACAGTGAGCCCCCAATACTTACCTCTGCTATGTGGCTGGGTGCTGGGGTAGAAAGAATGGCTTGTTCCTGAGGGGATTGGATGGGGCTGGAGACTTGAGAAGGACCTGACAAGAAGGGACACAGGATTTAAAAGAGGAAACCATCCCACCAGCCCCACTCACACTGAGAGGGCCCCCAGGAAGTTGTGTGGAGGGCATCATACTACATCCAGTGGACTGCTGAGGCCGGGAGAGCAGAGGTTTAGCTGAACCAAGGCATGCTGTGTCCCTGGGTCTGTACTCAGGCTGGTCTAAAAAAAACACATCTTAGGAGTGAGAGGACTCCTGGAATTCACTTCCCCAAGAACTAGTAACCCTTTGTGTGTACAATCTGGGTCCCAAGCTTTGAGATGGACCTTCTACCTTTTCATGATCCCAAACAACACAAGGAAAGGAACTGCTGGTTGAAGTCATTTGCAGGGCAGATAGGAAGAGCAGGAGGAAGAGTGGAGCCCTGGGCCAACTAAAGGCCCTGACTCTGTGCCACCCAGCCTGCCCTGTGGCTTCTGTAGGCATTCTGGAAGCTGCTGTCTCCTGCTGGTAGCAGTAGACCTACCTCTTTCTTGTTGCACTGGTAAGGCAGATGGCTTTTCCTCCTCATTTTCTATTACCCTCAGCTCTAACTCTGCTTCTACTTCAGGATGGCGTCGCAAGTGAAGCTCCATTTCAGCATCTGATGGGATGTCATCAGACCAATGCTGATCTAGTGGAGGGAGGAAGGGACACAAATTGGCACAGATCGTGAGCCAGGCCACACTCCTTTTCTATCTCTTACTCTCATGGCCCAGTGGTTGGATGGACACATGTGCACAGTTGTGCAAGGCCTGGATTGTGATGGTGAGCCCTGTCTATTACTCAGCAACAGACCCTGCCTTCTGAGAATGCTTCCAAGAGACTCAGCCAAAGCACTCTCCTGAAGCAAGGTACACTGCCCTCTGTAGTGTGGGGTCTCATTGAAGCCTGTGGTGCTCCACTTACTTTTAAAAATAGCACCATGACATATGAAAGCATGACAGGAAGAAAAGCTTGGGTTACACCTGCAGAAAAGCGGGCCTTGCTTCCTGGACTTATCTTTCTTGTTATTTCACCAGTTCCCAGCCCAGACCATAGACTACATCTATAATCCCTCATGATCTTAACCTCAACTTTTATTCTCATTTCTGTCCAACCTAGTCCCTGTTCCTTTTTGCCCAATGAGACAACAATTCTTAAAATTATTTAAAATGTCCCTGTCTCTCAATGCCAAAGGGCATCTAATGGATTAAAGGCCCTGAACAGTCTGAAATTTGCTCAGCTCTCAACCATAACTCAATTCACACAGGCTACACAGGAGATTGGCTTCTGGGTGGGTGAAACAAAACGAGTGTAAGTCACTGATGGAACAGAGAATCACCCAGGGAGCCAAACAGTTGACTCCCTTGAGCTTTTGCTTTAAAGTAGATGTTTCTTGAACATTCTTAAGTTCTAACCACTCAGGTCATTCCCCCTATGGGGAACAGGTTGTGTCCATAGTGGAGAGGGAGGCTGGGGCCCCATACCATCATCCAGCTCAGCACCAGTGTCCCCAGGGTCCCCATCCTCTGCTGCCTCCCCTTCTATCTCTGCTGGCTCCGAGTCCACATCTTCCTCCAGGTCATTCTCATCCAATGGGGCTGTAAGGCAGAGGTATTCCAGGAAAAGAAGAAAAGAAAAGACAGAAAAAGGATGTCTATGCAGGAGAAAGACGGGTTACTGGAGAAGAGAGAAATCCACTTGGATGGACGTGGGGAGTGCTCTAAAAGCAGTGTGGGTACTGAGGAGGGCCCAGGCCATTTTTCAATGTGAGTAGGGTCAAGTGGAAGGAGAAGAACAGCTGAAGGCCTGGCCAGGTTCCCTCTTTCCCACAGACTGTTTGCTTTAACAGTCTCAAGTCCAAGATGGTCAGAGGTAAAATGTTACTGCCTAGGCCCAACAGGCACCCAAATCAAGCTCCAGCAGTAACACTAGCTTCCAGCTATCAGTGCTTAAGTTTAGATACTTTCCTAACTACCTCTGAAGTCAGGGGTCATTTAAATCTCACAATGATACAATCTGAGGGATTGTTTCTTCCCTCTACCTTTGAGGGAGAGGATTCCACCCTTCCCACTGGTAGAAGCTGCAGCTTTTCTTGTGATAACTTAGAGAGAAATACTTCGTTAAAGAACAAGGGAGAAGAACTGAGGAGATATGTAAAGTTCCTTTTTTGGAGTCAAGAGTAGCCCTTTGGTGCTACAAAATGAAGCAAGGCACTCAATCACTTCATTTCTCCTAAGGAACCAGCCCCTAAACACACACACCACGCATCCCAACTCTGCATACTAAGAATCTGCACCTGCATGAACAGTGGATTCTAAGAGCAGTGAGGAAAGCAACAAGTACTGTCTCAAGGATTCTGAGACAGTCCCCTGAGACTGATAGCACCCATCTGCCAGGGGTCCTCAGGGCTCCTTCTAGGGTTGCAAGCACAACCACCCTTCAGTCATTCCCCAAGGGGTTAATTTCAAGAAACAAAGTTATGCTTCGATTTGCATATAAGCCTGAGTCCAACCTGCCTGGCCCCCCTCAGCCCCTCCAGGCCCAAGGTAGGGGAAGGAGTAGAGGAACTGGTTGTGGCACAGCTGGAGTAAATTCCTTAAATAAAAATTAAATAAATAGGGTAAATCCTCCCCACTTTTTTTTTAATAGGGAAAAGAATACACAAAATTAATTACATGCCTAAGGTATGGGAGTGCTAAACTCAGGTAAATTTCTTAAAAAAGCTGAATTGAAAATGAGAGAGGATAGAACACATAATAGCCATATGCCTAAAATGAAGTTTTCTTCTTTACAGACCAAACTAGTTACTGCAGTCTAGTGATAGGATGTTAAGAAGCAATGTGCTGAAACAGTTTGAGCAGCCCTTTGAAACTGCTGATAATGTAGCAATTACATGAGTTTTATTCCTTAATAATTCTTTAAATTGAGCTGGATGCAGTGGTATATGCCTGTAATCCCAGTGACTTGCGAGGGTAAGATAGGAGAAACACAAATTCAAGGCCAGCCTCAGCAACTTAGCCAGGCTCTATGCAACTTAGTGAGGCTCTGACTCAAAATAAAAATCTAAAAGGACTGGGGATGTAGTTCAGTGGTGAAGTGTTCCTGGATGAAGTCTGCAGTATAGGGAAAAAAAAATCCCTTAAGCTGTGTACTTATTTTTTATGCATAACTTTTAAGATAGTGGTTCAAATTTAATTTTTGTTGAAAGAGGTTTAGAATGGAGCACACAGGCATTCCAGGGATGGTGGATACTGTCCAGAGTAAGTTCTAGGCTGGTGAACTGTGAATGCCAAGYCCTTCCCTCTGAGACACCAGAGCAACCAGCAAGCTGGCAATGCCAAGGTACTCTCTCCTGGGATGATAACATTTTCTAGGGAAAAACTATTCAGTTGCTTCTATAGGTCTGAGCAATCACATTGCTTTTGGCCACCGATGGAAGATAGTTCCCCAAACAYCAGGGAATGGGATTTACGAGGCACAAACAAAAGCCTATCTACAAGCACCCATGTCCTCTAGGCCCCTTCTCAAATTGAGCTTTATATTTGGAAAGTCTGCTCATCATGGTACTATACCATAGAAAGACCAAACCTACCCCAAATAGATCAGTGGGAACAGAATCTGAGCCTATCTGGTAAGGGGGGGGGGTCTTTTGTGAATAACATTATTTGCTTGAACAAATATGTGAATGCCTAGCATTTAGGTGGTAGAAGAGACACTGGTATACTTTTGCTGGCAAGTAGGCTGGAAGCAAGCACAAAGACCACTCCATAGAACTCCCCAGCTTGCCCCAATTCCCTGGATTGGCCCGTCCCAATCCAGATCCCTTGGTCCTTCATGTGGTTCTCCTACTTGGAGTTTCTACTAAGAAACCTCTACTGTCGAATTAGATGGGTAAGGTTCTATACTTCTTGAAGTACCTTGAAAAGAACAATTATCACATACATCAAAAAATAAACATGGGAGAACTATCAATGCAGCAGTAGCAGATGCTGAAGGAGTCGCAGCCTGAGCAATGAAACTGGCGAATGGAATCTAGGTTAAGATGAAGTGCAGGGTGATAGAAGCGGCCACACAAGTTGATGAGTTACACACTACGAAAGCCAGGAATTGCTGTTTATTTCAGGTGGCAGCTGGGAAGTGCCCCTTCCTCCACCTTATCCCTCTGTCATCTGGATGCACACTAACTAGAAATTCTCAGCAGCTCGTATGTCGAGGGCTGATGGCTCAGGGCCAGCTGAATCAGACACCCGATGGCATTCTTTCTCTTATACACTGGGAAGATTCCTCCTGACATTTATCTATTTTTCCTGCTGTTGGTGAAGACAATAGGCTGGAATGGTAAGAGCCTGGTGGTTAAGATCCATGCGTGTCAGTCCTGCCCATCCTGGATGCAACTGCTAAGGCCATATTCCTCAGACAGCAGGCAATGTTGCCTTCTCTTCTAACAGTGTTGGAAAATACGTGTATGTCTTTGGTTGTTATACGACTAGGCTGGGAATGGAGACAGTACAACATTTGGAGGGCAGAGGCCAAGGATAAACATCCTGCAATGGAAAGAACAGCCTGCCCCGAATTCATGTAGACCCCCTCACTGAGAAATGTTTCCAGAAAAAATTTAGAAAAGACAACTAAGGTTTGCCAATTATCTCATGGCATAAATAGCTGAAAAGACACCTGTAGCTTGGTATGTCCTTCTTGTACCCTCTTCCCTTAGCTGTATAATACCAGTCCTTTGCCCTCCCCTCCTCTCTGATAATTCTTGTAAATGCCTTCTGTCCCTGAGTCTTGACTGTTTCCTTCTCTGATATTTTGGTAGGTTTGTGGAATTTTATTTTGATTCCTCTGTTTTCACACTCAATTACTACCTATTTTTTTACATACTTAAACCTCAGTGCTAAAAAAGGTTCCTTTAGCTTTGGTCATTGTATTCAACCTCTATTAATGCAACAAGTCCTGTCTCCACTAATGTTCTCCTCCAATCTGCCCTGTAGAATGTGGGATGCACTTCTGGTCCATGCAAGGATGGGCTGCCTGAGTGAGGCATGCATGTGCCCCCGCCCACCTCTGGCTCCACCCTYGCATGCACCAGCGACAGGACCAGAGTTCTAGTGTTAAGGCACCAGCAGAGCTGCCTAAAGAGAAAGGTTATGGTGAGTGGGAAAAGATCAAACATCACCGACTACCTCCGGAGACCGTCTCCAGCCAGGCCTGCACTGCTGCACGGCGTATGGAAGGAAGGCCAGGCACTGAATTTAAAACAGACGATAAATACAAAGTTACACAGCAGTAAGCATTCCCAGTGAGGAGAGCTGCGGTCATTCCTAAAGTCCAAAACAGAAAAGAAACTGAGCAGAGAGTGGCCTGTCTGGCATGGATGAGGGTAATGATCCGCCGTTATCCTGAGAGAAAACCCAAGGGAGGCTGCAGGATGCTCCTGGTCGATGCCGTAGGTCAGTCAGGTGCCCTGGTCAGCGGGGGCTCTCACATCAAGTTCAGCATAGCTTCTGGGTATCTAAAGTTCTGCAAAAGCTGTTAACAGAGGCTGGTCTTACCTACAAGGGAAGAGTTGGGGGCTGGAAGGATAAAATAGTGCATTAAAGGCTAAGTTTCACGAGGGCAAGGAAGCATCCCTTTTGTATACCCAGAGCCTTGAAGGGTGTGTGGCCTGTAATAGGCACAAAGAATATGTGAAGCTACATGAGCCAGACAGAGGTGATGACCAAGGGTCCATATTGGAAGATAGGTAGCTGAGAGGAATGATACACAGTCAATGAATCCTTCAACAGAGTCCTTTGTTTTCTGTTATTGATATTCCTTAAAAGAAGCCAGAGGCCAGGTGCAGTAGCATGCACCTGGAGCCCAGCTGCTTGGGTGATTGAGGCAGAAGGATCACTTAAGACCAGGAGTCAGAGACCAGCCTGAGCAACATAGTGAGACCCTGTCTCAAAACAAAGCAAAACAAAACAAAACAAAAACCACTGAATAAGGTACGTTTTCATCTTATTGGGAAACACAGACCAACTCACCTAAAACCTGGAGTTGAAAATAATGCAGTGAATTTAGAAACCTCCCTGATATATCTCTCTTCTTAATTTTACTTCTAAATATGCTTCCCTCTCCTCCTCCTGTCATACACAGTCACACTCAGACACACTCCATGAGGAAAGCACCAGCATGTTCTATAGAGTGGGCAAAGAAGACCCCAGCCGAGAAATATAGGGTACAGGAAGTGAATTCTCATTTTTCCCTAGGTCAAATTCAGTTTATTATTTTTCATTACTGGAGAAAGAGCCTGCAACCTCTTAATCCATAGAGAACTTTACATATCCTCAAATGAGAGTCAAGGACACCTGTCTGGGTTAACAGCAGAAAACGTAATGTTTTGTTGGGTTCTACTTTTGATCAAAATGGGAGGCTTTGGTCTTAGCAGAAAGGTCCTCTACAGCAACAGGAAGGGATGCAGGGATGAAAGCTGCTGATAGCAGCACATGGGATCCTGGGTCTTGAAGCAGTTACCTCTAGAAGTGGAAGATTCAGAGGTTGGGACCATTCTTTCTTCCTCCTCTTTCTCACGAATGTGTGTCCAGTGCACATCAGCCTGGATCGCCAAGGGATCTGCTGGATTTATTATCTGCTGTAGCCTGTGGTTCCCAGCTATTGTGCCAGGTTTAAGGGATGGAGATGACAGGGAGGAGAAAATAAACAGAAAAGGAGGGGATAAAACATCACAGGAAAGGAAACAGAAAGAAGAGTTACAGTATTTGCCAGGAGCAGTTTGAATAGAAAGAAGTAAAAATCAAGAACATGTGCTCACACGCATGTAACTACTAGTCATTCAGTTTGGATTAGTCATTTTGAACTTCATGTGTACTATTAATTTCAGTGAAGAGAACCACACATTCCAACTCCAAATGCAGATTCTGCTGCCTTTTTCATCCTAAATGATTTTTGAGGAATCCAAATGCCAAGGTGGAGAAAAAGCAGATGACAACTGACTTCTGAAGGGCCATTCCTCCAAGAGTGATAAGAACTCAGGTTGATTACCTAGCACAGCATGAGGCCCTCTACGTCACGCCATTCATGCCCCTTCTGTTGATTATACAGCAAAGTGCTTACCACCACTTGCCAAGCTGACCACTTCTGAGACTCCAGTCAAGTGACAACAGAAAGGTGGGATGGGACAGTGCCATTCTGCCACAAGCCAGTCAACTCACATAGGACAAAAATGTACTATGTTTATATTGTATTTTTTTGTTTTCTGTAGTAAGAGCTTCTACTAGAGAGAAAAAAAGCCCCTTCCATAAGAGATCTTCCTCATGCTGCATGCTGGGTCTGCCAGGGTCATAGTTGTTGGGGAGGATGGAGTTAGGGGAGGCAGCAGCTTAGGGAAGAAGCAGAACTCTAGCTTGTGAAGTCCCCAAACTCYAGGAGTTTAGGGGTAGGGAGGAGACCCACACCTCTTTGCGTCCCCCCCCAATCAAAACTATCAAAGCTCCTTTCCTTAAAACTCCATTTGGTATCCTACTGAACCCTCTGGACATGAGACCTGGTTTCTCAGTTAAATGAAGACTCACAGGCAGTCCTTTCAGCTTATTCTTGCTGACAGAGCCTGAGTAATCTGCATGCAGTCCCTGCCTTGTGAGATCCCTATCATTAGGGCTTGCATCATGCTACACAGTGGGGTTAAGATAAAGGAATAGCTAGCAACTTGGAAGGAGGGGATACTACAGAAGGAAGGACGACTATTCAGGCAGCAAGAGCAGGTGCCATCGATCTGAAGGACTCTTCAATTCTTAGCAGGAGCCAGTGTCTATCTGTGAGTATATGTCACCCCTTCCTTCAATAATCTAACTGGACAACCTGGTTTTAGTTTTGTGACAACCTCTGATTTGGATTGGAAGAACCAATAAGATCACCAATGTGGATGCTGACTTATGCTATCAATGTGGGGTATTAGTCCCTCATGGGCTCCCTTACTGGAGCTGCTGGTCTCTATAGACTGAAGGACTATTTGCAAGGCCAGTTTATCTGCCTTTATGGTAGTGGAGGGGGCCGAATTACAGCAACACCTCCAAAGAGCTCAGATTTAGGCCTGGGGAAGATAAGTCAAAAGAAAAGAGGCAGGACCTTTCTTTACCTTCTAAGCAACAAGGGAAGAGAATGAGTCTTCTCCCTGAGTAATGTTCTGCTTCCTATTACCACATGCAGCCTTGGGGATTTATCAACAGCATGAAGCCAGCACTTCTTTCTTTCTCAGAGAAATGTTTAAAGGCACCTGTGGTGGTGGTGACAGAAGAGCTGTGGCCGCATTGTGAGATTTTCTGCATTAGAGAAGAAACTGAATCTTAACTGGATAAGGAGAAATTTCAGAAAAACCCACAGGGATAGAAATGGGGCCATATTCCATTTCTGGAATATGCTATTCTCTACTTTGTCTGGGAAGGCTGGGCCCAGAGATAGGTGCCCAGCTAGATATGTGCAGTGTAGCTCTAAAAAGCACAGATCTTTTCATGTGGGACCTGCTCTTGGAGGCAAATTTTGGATGGCTGCTAGGGAGCCAGGGTAGAAGGTGGGCAGGGGAGCAAAGTGGGTACCTTTACAAGTACCCATTTCTTCTTCCTTTGACAGATGCTGGAGCCACTGGCCTTGCAGGAGTTCTCTGTCCCAGGGGCAATACTCCCCTTCTACAGCAGGGGGAGCCAGACACCCACAAGCAGCATCAAGAATCCCGCAGGGGGACAAATGGAGAGAAAAGGGAACGGAAAGGAGGAAAAAGAATAGAAAGCAGAGTTATCTTCAGTGACAAGATAGTAGCATCCTGTCACTGCCTACACAGGTGTGGAAGTCCACTGCCCAGAAGACATACTCCAGGCTGGGAATACAAGGTTCCCACCTGGAAATGTCTAGAGTTTGACTGAATATTTTGGTTTGGGTTTCTCTAGCTAAGGCCCCAATTCCCTATAGGTCTGGTCTTAAGTCCAAGCCCAAGAAGTTAGTCTTCATAAGGGGAAAGTGGGCTAAACTCTCCTGAAAATGGAAAAAGCTCTGACTCTAAGCTGTGTTGAAGCTAAAAGTCATTAAGCATAATAATCACACACATATAATGAAGCAAACAAAATACCTTCCCCCTGCACCAACTACCTCCTCTAATTAGGGGAACATGGAGGCAACTCTGGACCAGTTGGCTCCGCAGACATGGCAGAATGAGAGAACTCAGGCTCCAGCCAGGGCCTAGCTCCTTCTCGCACAGACCTACTCAAGGCTCATAAAAAATACTGGGCGGGGAGTATAGGCTGTAAAGCATACTGCCTTGTAAGTCCTGGTCCAGCCTTGGTCTCCACTTTCAGAGGGGTGAGTGCAAGAGGACAGGGAGAGAAACTCCACAGGGAAGTTTCTGAGGAAGTGCCCTGACCCTGACCACTCAAGTCCAGGGTCTCATGATTAAGGTGCTATCCTGTCCCCACCACCTCTTTATAGTTGTCTTAAACTGCACAGGTGTCAGGTCTGGCTTGTGGATCACAGCCCTGTCTGTGAAGGGCTAAAATATTACAGTGTCAGAGGAAATGGCCCCTGGGATGGGCCTACGTAGTGAGCACATCGAATTTCAGAAGAAGCAGAGATAAGTCCTAGCAGAGCAATCATGTACAACTCCACTGTGCCCACATTGTTCAGAATTTAATCTGTTCCTCTGACTCCTGGGGAGAAACTGGGGCTTAGAAATTAGAAGGCCCATGTCCTCCTATCCATTGGTTCTGAGTCCCCAGGACAGAAAGTAAAGACCTCCGCAGGGTGCTACTTCCTTCCTCACCTCCTACAGGACCTCTGTACAGCTAGGGCTGGGAAAGAATGACCCTCTCTTTCTATTCAGCAAGTTCATCATCATCACTTAAGGTTACATAGAGCCAGAGAGAGGGACAAAATTGAAAAAAACCTTGAGTTTAAGAGAATTATTTCAGAACCAACCAGGATTGCAATTAAGATGCTCATCTTAATTGCAATTAAGATGCTCTTTTTCAGGATTTCTGGCCCCACACTGTTATTCTGTTCTTTTATTTATTTATTTTTTTCTGGTGCTGGGGCTTGAACCCAGGACCCTGTGCATGCAAGGCAAGCACTCTACCAATTCTGAGTTATGTCCCTAGCCCCCCACAATGTTATTCTTTTTTTTTTTTTTTTTTAGTTCTTGGTGGACATAACATCTTTGTATGTATGTGGTGCTGAGGATCGAACCCGGGCCGCACGCATGTCAGGCAAGCGCACTACCGCTTGAGCCACATCCCCAGCCCCCCACAATGTTATTCTGAGTATCACTGACAGCACCCTGTCTGGTGGGCATCTAGCTCAAAGCAGTCTTCATTACTCAAGATCAGAAATCAAGGATTCCTCTAGGAAGCTAAATTCCCTTGTTTTATTACAATCAATGTCTATAACTGAAACTAAAGGGCTTGGGGGGCGGAAATGAGAAGACAGGAATGAGTAGGTTAATTAGGTCAAAATCCTTAGATTGGCCCATATTTTCTACTTCCAATTAAAAATTTGAATTTGCACCAGGGACATTATTCCCACAGTGGCCTGTCTGCCCGATTTGGTATCCTTCCTCTGCCCCTGTACCTAAGGTCAGGGAGCAACAGAAAGGATTATTTTGAAGCTCTGTGGGAAGTGTCCATGTGACTCCAGCCAATGAAACCTGYCACTCTCATACATGGGACAGATTATTTCAGAGGGACAGGGTCAGGGTTAGGAGAAGAGACTTTTTTCTGACCTTCACTGGACTCCTCCTCCTCTTCGTCATATTCTTCCTCCTCTTCTTCTTCATATTCCTCTTCCTCCTCCTCTTCTCCCTCCCCAGGCTCAAAGCTCTTGGAGGTCTCTAACTCTTCCTCACTCCTCCCTTTCAGAAGAGCGTGGATCCTTACAGCCTCCTTCCAAGGAACACCACCCAGGTCAGAAGTGGGCAGCTGCTCCTCCTCCTCTTCCTCCTCCTCTTCTTCCTCCATTTCCGACTCGGAACTGCTATGAAGATAACCACACAAACCAAGTGAGGGAATGCCAGGAAATTGAGAAGGGAAGATTCAGTGCCACAGTTGGAGGCAATATGTCCCAGCAAAGCACCTGTCAAGTGGGAGGGAGGGAACATAAGAATGGAAAGAGGGTGACAAATAGGGCAGGATGAATTACATCTATAAGTGAACATTTACATGGACCCACACAAGCAAAAAGCCCAGCCTGGTGGGGCACAACAGGCTAGTAAACACCATGACCACTGGGTAAGTGTTCACAGAGGACCTGGAGAACACAGCAGGGGACAGTGGACTTGTTTTGCTATAAACACATAACCCTTGGAATTGAGAGGGAAGAGAAAGTCCTCTTTCACCTTGACCCACAATTTGGTTTGCAGAACTCGGTTCTAACTTGATTCAGGTCAGTCAGGAGCCTTTTGTGAGAACCATAGGGGTGAGGGAGAAAGAGAAGGTGCCCCAAGAGGCTGAAATAAACATAGTGCCTTGTAATCRGTGTGGGGTGTGTGTATGTGCTGGGGCAGGGGCTGGGGGAGGAAGCAGCAGATCCAATTTCATGGTGTTCCTTGAGACCTCACAATGTGCCAATCCCAGAGCTGCATATTGTGGGGAACACAAAGGTAAAGAGGCAGTAAATGCCTTGCCCACTGCACAGCTAAAGCAAAAAAACCATCAGGAGAGGACCCAACCCCCTGCAGTCATCATCATGCCTGACAACCTGCTACATTCTCCACACCTGTATCCTTCACAGAACAAGGCCAGCTCAGCTTGCAACAGAAGCAGTGCTATGTGCAAAACTTATGTGAACCTGACCACTGCCCTTTAGGATGATCCCTCTTTGCCCTGGGGAAGGAAGCAGTATAATAGGCAGGACACGAACAAAATTCCACTCCCCACAGTGGTATGGGCTCAAATGGAGAAGTTTCCAGGCCTGTTTCACAGTCTGATAGTTCCTAAAGAATCTTTTCCAGTAGAGACTTTGCCTGTGGTGAGAAGTGTATCCTTAATTGGATCGAAGAAAATGTGGCTTTCATAATAAAGCACTGGACCAAACTCTGGATGATAGAGCCCCAAGCTCCAGAGGCCTGAGGCATGAAGTGGGTTTAGTTTCAGCTTCCTATTAAGGTGGAGTCCTCTCTCTATCCAGGGAAGACTTTCTCATAGCTCATTTGTGTTTGAGAGTGAGGAAGCCAGTGAACAGACCCAGATGAAGACAATAACGTTCAACATGGATGCTTCCGGTACTATGTGGGGAAGAATCTTATCCAAAGAGAGGTCTAGCCTTGTCCTTGTCCTTGTGAAGTAAATTCTGACCCCCTGGACTGTTCTGATTGAGGTCTTTGGTAGACAGTCTAATATGGGGATCTAGGTTGAGGGCTGGTCACATCCCAAAGTCAGCTGGGGGACAGTCATAGAAGAGAGACCAAAGATGTGATTTCAGGTGGGGGTACTGGGTTACTTGGTATATGCTGACTTAGAGACTGAGATACATGTGAACTATCAACCAGTCATTGCCTATGTAATGGAGTCCAAAAAAAATTCCTAACAGCCAGGCTTGGGTGGTGAATTCTTCGATGGGTACTGACATACATCAACACCAAGAAGCAACGCTCTCCTGATTCTATGAGGTAGAACAACAAAAGCCCCGAATTTCATAGTTTTCTGCAGTCTACCAGATGTACATATTCCCCTGGCTAGTTTCTAAAACTCCATCTTTTCCTTGTAATAAACCACAACTGTGAGTATAATTGCTTTCAGGGAGTTCTGTAAATCCTTCTGGCAAATTATTGAACCTGAGGGTCATCACATCACATCAGAATTTGTGACTGGTGTCAGAAGTGAGGGTGGTCTTGGGCCTCATTCCCTCTTATCTGCCTCCTAACTCCTCACAATGCCACACTGGCTTTGCTACTGTGACCTTCAGTTTATTACTTATGCTCTCTGAGCCATGATTTTCTAATTTGTCAGGATGTCTTGAAATACCTCCCCTCAGGCACATTCTGATGGATCATTGACTTTCATCATGCCTGCATTATACTTTGGGGCTCTAGCTATTCATCTATTTGTTTATTTAGCTATACAATTTTTCAATCATTCATTCATTCAATAAACATTTTTGAGCACCCACTAAAGCTGAGCCAGTGGATATAGAAATAAAAAGCTGTGTCCTTCCAATGAGTCTCACTTTACTCATTCATTCATCCAACTAAAATTTATTGTCTTTTACTTCTTTTTTTTCCTAAGCATCTTAGTTTATTTTAATTTAGGACATTTAAAGAAATAATATAACAGTAAAAATGATGTCACAGTGCAGTTCATGATAACCCAAATTGCAGTTTTTCAAAATTTGTATTTCAGATATACTTAATATCAAACTTTGTATCTAAAAAAATTATAGCTTAAGTTAGGAAAAGTTAGAATGAATATCAGCTAATTGTCTTTTACTTCTAATGTACTTGCTAAACGTGCAGAAACATAAAAGTGATCCAAAAAAGCTCCTTATTCTCAAAGACAGATAAGATGCAAACACATCATGATAAAGTAAGGTAGAATGAGAGTGTGGTGTGACTGAGGGCTGGAAGGTAGAGGTTAAAGTACACAAAAACTTGGCCCATGCCTGTAATCACTGGTACCTGGGAAGCTAGGACAGAAGGGTAGCAAGTCCACAGCAAGCCTTGGTAAATTAGTAAGATCCTGTCTCAAATAGGTTACTGAGGTGTGACCTCAGGGAGTCTGTCCCTGTTCCCTTCCTCTTCTTCTCTAGACTACTTCCTGGCTGCCATTCTCTTCCATCATGACGTTTTTGCCTTGGASCTAGTCAACCATAGTCCAAATCCTCTGAAACCATCCTCTGAAGCCAAAATAAAAATTTCCTCTTCTGAGTTGTTCTTGTCTCACTGTTGGTCTTAGCAACAAAAAGTTGACTAAATATATTGTTTGCCCCACACCTCTGTTTGTTGGTTTATTTTCTTATTAATATATCATTACACATCTTTCAAAGATAAAATAAGGATAAGGAGGCTTCTATGCTCATCTTAAATCTTTGGTGGGCAGAGGGAAGGCCATGCTGTCCCTTCCTCAAGGCGGAGTGCAACCAGGGACTTGTTTAAGGCTGCCTCAGTAGTTAGTGGACTGGAAGGAACGGTGTTACAGCTTCCTGGGAGAGGGGGCCTTAGTACAGCCTTGTCCTCGCCCCAAGCAGTGTCATGAGGATGGCTGCACTGTGCACAATGCAGGCATTGAATAAATCCCTTGTGATGATGACAATGAGGCCCCACTTATAGCTATTAGTGCCACTCTGGCTGGTTTTACGACAGCTCAATGATCGTGGGAGTGTAGTAAGTGAGGCATGGAGTAGGAAAGAAAGCAAAAAATTCAATCCTTGCCTTTCTTCATAAGTTACATGCTTAGCCCACTTCCAAGAGGTAGAATGCTACTTGTCCCTGGACATCCCAGGGAGGCTAACCAGACTCCCTCTCCATGTAAAGGACAGAGGAAATCTGAAAGGTGCTGCCAACTGCTCCCTTCCATGCCATCATTTTCATAGACTACTACTCAAGGTAGTCTCTGGGGCTGGTCAGGCCCCTGACCTCATGAAAGATTCGCAGTGTAACTACAGCATCTCAAGGCTCATTTTACATTCTCTGGCTGACCCTAACTCCTGAATCTCTCTGGACCTGGGTTGTTGAAACTGGAGGAAAGGAAGGAGAAATACACCCCTTGGACTATAGCCTGGAAAATTTTGCAGTGGAAAGGATTCTTATAGGGGGGAAGCAATACATACAACTAACATCTCCCTCCTTCTGGGAAAAAAGGATTTTAAAAAAAAAGCTATTCTAAGGATACAGCTTCCTGGGAGAAATGTGGCTTGGAAAATCTAGTTATCAAGATAAGCTTTCCCAGGCTGGGATGAAGCTCAGTGGCAAAGTGTCTGCCTTGCATTTGCGCAAAGCCCTGGATTTGACCCCTAGTTCCAAAAAAAAAAAAAAAAAAAAAAAAAGGATAACCTTTCCTTCACAGCAGGTATCCATTTTTTTGTCCTGTAACAATATGGTGTCCTGTGGGTTGCTTAGGGTCTGTCTCTCCACCAGAACCGCCCTCTCTCTCAGAGCAGGGACAGGGCTGCTTTGTTTGCTGGAGTACTTATCACAGGGCTTAGCAGAGTCAAGATGGGCGGAATGCCCAGGGACCACAAGCAGGAAGGTCAAGGCAGGTTTTCCCTAATTTCAGAACTATCAGATATCTTGGGATCCCCCTTGGCAAAGCCTGGTCAAAAGGAGCTGACCCTTTCAGTTAAAAGAATATTCAGAAAAAATTCTCCCTGAGATAATGTATATCCAATTAAGCATCTTCAAGTACCTTCTCTAAGTTTTCCCTTGGGTAGTTTCTCTTTGAGAAATTGAGGGGACTGGCTGGAGGAAACAAAACTGATGAACACATGGACTAGATTGTAAAAGACAAGGTCTGCTCAACTTAAATGAGCTAAGCAAAGGTTTTGCTGTGGTCAGGAAGGAAGATCCAAGGACAATGATAATGGTGAAGGACAGTAATACTGAAGGTCGACTGAGCCCCGAGGATAGCCATGCAGCATGTGGCATTTCTTTGCTAAATTTTTTATTTTGTTTTTTTGCTACACACACTAGGCAAGTGCTCTAGTGCTGAGCCACAACCCCAGTCCCAAGATGGTCTTTTTTTTTTTTTTTATCATTGTAAATTTTCTTTCTGTTTTTTTTAAAAAGGCACTTCCTTTGTATTTGCTCACTTAGCTATTCAGCTACTCTAGGGCACAGCTACTATTAGAAAGGTTGAATGTCCCCTAACTCAAAAATTCAAAAGCTAAAACTTGAGCACTTTTCATGATGTTTAAAAAGTTTTGGCTTTTAGAGTTTTAGATTAGAGATGCACAACTGGTAAAGTCTATGCCAATACTCCAAAATAGAAAAACCTGGAAATCTGAAATCCAGTGTTTCAGATGAGGGATACACATCTTGTATTTTTTCCCAGTTTTTCTTTTTGGTACTAAGGATTGAACCCAGGGGTGCTCTATCACTGAGCTACATTGCCATTCTTTTTTATTTTCTATTTTGAGACAGAGTCTTGCTAAGCTGCCCAGGCTGGCCTTGAACTTAATAAGATCCTTCCTCAGCCTCCCAAGTCACTGGAATGACAGGCATGCACCATCACATATGGTTATATTTTCCATATATATATTTGATAGACTTTATTTATTTATATGTGAATTCTGCATGGGGCATCACCTGAGAATCAAACCCAGTGCCTCACACATGCCAGGCAAGTAGGCTATTGCAGAACCCCAGCCCTAGCCCATTTTCCCCATTTTTTAAAAATGGGAAACTGCAGCCTAAGGAGTTTGGTGTGAAGAGGATTCAGGATTCCCAGCAGCCTCCACACACCACGTTGTGCACTCTTTGGTGGTTCTTCAAGAACCCAAGAATGCTTTGGTATTAGCAGCTGTCAGGGTGGCAACCCCAGGAAATGGATCATGATCCTGTTCTCTGGTGGCCTGCATTTTCCTTGAAAAGGCAAGGATGGGAACTAAGGGAGGCTCCATTGTGCATGAGGCAGAATTCTGCATGGGGCATCACCTGAAGCTACAGGGTGGTTTTCAGAAACAGGTATCACAATTTTTACTCTTTAAGTTGAGCTTCTCCTAATGAGAGACTGCAATACGCTCTCTGGCTCAATCACACTCCTAGCTCCCACTCACCCTGACAACTGTGTTAACACAGTAAAGCATCAGAAGCAGATGTCTAGAGAAGATGTACATTGCCCAGTGATCTTCACATGGTGGAAATCTAATGTGTGCTCGACCTAGCATCCTGCTCAGCAGTAGCTCATGTTACTATCTGTGCTGGAAAAGAATATGTATGTGTGTGTGTGTGTGTGTGTGTGTGTGTATATATATATATATATATAGAGAGAGAGAGAGAGAGAGAGAGAGAGAGAGAGGTGTGTGTGTGTGTGTGGCAAGAATTCCCATGTATTCATGGTCAACCTGTCAACCTTCTGATGGAGGGCTGGCCCATTTGGACTGGACTGCTGATGACTTTGGAGAAGTCTTTTGTGACCTTGGCTGTCCCATCCCAGAGCACATCTGTCTGCTCTAGTACTAACTGATTAGTACTTTAGAACCACAGATCTGAACACACTAAAGTTGCCAGCAGATGGGTACTCCATCAGCTGTCTTCCTTGTCTGTGGCAAATTCTTTGAGTCAGGGTAATGAAAATTATAGAGCTGGATCTCCTTCCTCTTTTGTCACCTGGTCTTGCTATATAGAAAAATACATATGCCATTTCTAGACTGTTCTCCAGAAGTTAGGCTCCCACCTTGCCTGCAAGGAGTTAGCTACTTAGACCTGGGTTCAGAATCTGTGATAAGGTTTAGGACGTTTACCACTTGTATGAACTAAACCATAAGTCTGATTTTAAGACTCACCTTAAAAAAAAAAAAAAAGTCTCACCTAGGATGCCTGTTAAAACCAGACATTCACAACCTACACTAGAACGAGAGGGCCTTGACATTACTTTTTTATCAAATGCCCCAGATGTTTATCATAATGGCAATTTGGAAATCTCAGAGCAGCAATTCACAGGGTGGTTACCTGATGACAGCACCCTTTGGTAACTATTTTAAAATGAAAATTCTTTGATTTTACCCTAGATCCATGGAATCAGCACTCAGTCCAGCAACCTGTGCTTTAGCAAACGCCCTGGGTGGTTATGATGTATGGAAAGTCAACAATGCCCTAGGGCAGGGTGAGTGAGCCAAACCCAATTTCTGGCATTTAATTCTTCTTTTTAAGAAAACCAGTTCAAGAGTCCCTGGCCCTGCCCCAACTAGAGAGGGACACCTGCATTGTGAATGGACCTACAAGGTAAAAAATAGACAGTAAAGTAAATGCTGACATTGGATGTAGCAGCCAATGGGTGCCAGGCATTCTGTTGGCTTTATTTGATTTAATCTTCAAAATAAACCTATGAGGCAATGTCCTTTGCTGATGAGAAAGATGAGGCACAGAAAGGCTAAATAACTTGCCCACAACCAGTAATTGGTAGAGCCAGGCTTCAAGTCTAGATCTGTTTATCTCTGATGCTTTCAACCATGTTCTGAAATATCAAACCATGCTGTCTCCCACAGCAGATGCCTGAGTTGAGTTCTCTGAACCTGTGAAAAGTGTGTTCCTGGGTTGGACTGGATAATACCTTAAAACTAAGTCATTTCTCATCATCGAATCTAACATGTCATCAAGAAGGGCTAAGAGCTGAAAGCTCACCTCACTCTGTGTTTGGTGTTGTAAAAGAAGATGGAAACAACACATGGCCCATTTCCTGCATATTACTGCTTTTCCCTAGAGAAGACAAAATCTATAGTTACTTTCTCTGGACCTCTCACTGAGACAACTTTCTTCATTATGTGTGGCATCTGAAGCTGATTTATTACTATTTTAATTTTTTTTTCCTTTTTCTAAAAGGCCTTGCAGATGCTAGGCAAGTACTCTACTGCTGAATCACTTCTCCACTTCCCCAGCCTTTGCTTTTTATTTTTGCAATTTGAGTTTAAACTAATGGGGGCATTTGTTGCACTGTAGAGATGCTGGCTGATTTTATGTCTGACCCAAGGTCTGCTTAAGGGTTCATCAATGTACTTGGATGTATGGGATCTCCCCTTCTCACTGTGATGTTGGCAACACAGGCAATGTGTGGATCTCCCTTCTGTGAGCATTGGAGGGTAGGGTATGTCTCTGGATAAGAGGCAGAGCTATGTGACAATGATGTGCAATTAGTGACAGCTTCAGAACTGTGGGTACCAAGAGAAAGGCTGCCCCTGAAATGCACAAAAAGGCTGTTTGCAGAGTCAGCCCAAGTAGTGGTTCACCTAGTTTGTCTGTAGTATGCCTGGGGCAGGGGGTGAGATATAGCTGAACACAGCTCTGCCCAATGAACACTTTCTGAGAAATATTCGGAGGCCTTAAAAAAAAAAAAATGCACTGCTTTCTTTAACCCCACACATCCCTTCATCAAAGCTAGATAAAAAATGCCCAGTATCTGATTCAATTATTTTCAAAGGTCAACCAGAAGCCTCCACCCATCCGGGGCTGCAACTAGGGCTCTGATCCAGAAGCCCCGCAGGATAGTCTGGCCTATGATAATTTTGCCCCTTCTTTTTTATCTTCTGTTCTCTTTCAGTACCCATCCTTCTCCAGTGACACCTGAAAGAGGCAACAGATGCAGGGACTTCTCTGGTGGTTGGAATGTGTGTTGCACCCAAAGGGATCAAACAGAATTAAACACAGGGATGGGCTAAGCATAAGACGCTTCCATGTGGTCTCTGGCATGCAAGGTTTCTGCCCTTCTCTTTACCCACAGAAGACAAAAGAACACTAGAAAAGTGAGGTGGCTTCCTTAAGGCTATGCAGTGAATTCAGGTCCAATTCAACCCTAGTGCTACTTCCATGAAACTTCCTACCTTTAAACAACCATTTGAGGACAACAAAATATGACTTATCCCTTGTCTGTTACCTTTTCAATGATTAACAAAGTGCTAAAGACATGGAATATGAAGTAAATCTTATGAATGTGATCCTTATGGGCCCTGCCCTACCTAGTTATAGACACCTATACCGTGCAAAGGCCTATAAGGTACTATATTAATAATAATAGTAACTGCTGATGTTGACTTATAAATAAGAACCTAAATAGAACACAGGGAAGCAGGGAAAACAAAAAGAGTCCTGGGCCTGAACCCAGAAAACCTAATTTGGGATCTCAGCTTTAGTCTTACCTATAAGGTGACAAAACATGCTTTTGTCTATCTCATAGGTCCCATGAGGGAGATCAAATGCACATGATCAGTATCATGCAAAATAACCCACAAGCACTTACATGTGCCAAGTATTGTTTTAAACACTTTATACCAATCTTCTCCTTTAATCCTTCTACCAATTCTGTGAGGAAGGCACTAATATTATCTTCATTTTACAGATGAAGAAACTGAAGCATATAGGGGCTATTGCTTAGGTTTCCACAGCTGGAAAGAAGAAGATTCAATATTCCAACCCAGAGAGTCTGATTTAGACCTATGCTGCCCTCCCCAGCAAAGTGGAATATTCCTTTGGAGGTTGTGGTGAGACCACTGCCCTGGGGTAGCTGGGCAAGCCACAGGCGCAGGCTGACCTGCTGGCCACGTCCTCTTCGGTGCCCTTGTCTAGTACGCTGCTCAGGTTGTGCTCAGCTTGCGTTTCCTCAGGTACCTCCTCCAGCTCCTCTGCCCGTTTCACAGACCGGTGGTAGTTCTCCAGTTCGATTCTCTCAGGAGTGCCCCTCAGCCTCTTGGCAATGCTAGGTTCCTCCAGGCCATTTACACTGGAACCTGCAAGGCAAGCAAAGAGGCAAAGTCTTGATGACACAATTTGGGAACTGAACTCAACATCTAGGTATCCAAGGCAGCCACCACGCATTTCCATGAAGGGATGGACAGCCCTCATATGATGTCAGAACATAGGGTGGGTTGAAAGCCAAGGCTGGTAAGGATGCTGACATAAAAGTGGAAGAACTGCCCTAAATGGAAGAAGCAGACTGTATATCCACATCTGCTCTGTATCACCCCAAACCTCTGGCCAGATTGAAAAAAGAGACCAGGTAACTGGTGACAGTGACTGGGTGGGCTAAAGGGGATGTGGGGCTAGACCTCTGGGTAGCTGTTCTCACTGCCAGGAGCTATATGGCTCTAAAGCAGCTTTCCTCTAACAGCTTCAGGCCCCCACAGGGATGATCTGGGATCTAGTCAAGGTTCGTGCACTGTTTATCTGACTTCAAGGCACCCGGGCTAGCTGTTTCGCAGACCTTCTCATGCTGTGAATTTGTCTGTCTCCCATGGCCATTCATGGTAAACAATGTAGAGAGTAAGAATACCACATGGATGATGTTGTGCCCCTCTGCTGTGGTTATTCAGCTTTACCATATGGGTAAAGTGGTATTCATCATCTCTCCAACACAAAGGCACAGTTTCCTCTCTAAATATCACTCACGTATGGGGTGATATTCAGAAACATAGGAGTACCTGCCCTAGCATTCTTCCATCTAGTGATCTGAAAGTCTGTTGATCTTTTCCTGAGTCAGTGTACTGGGGTCAAAAAAAGGTTATTTTCATAATTCTGTCATTCTTTTTTTTTTAAGATGGATACAATAACTTTACTTTATTTATTTACTTTATTTATGTGGTGCTGAGGATTGAACCCAGTGCCTCACATGTGCGAGACAAGCACTCTACTGCTGAGCTATAACCCCAGCTCCTCCACTGTCATTCTTTAGTATATGTTTGAATACCACTATGGACTCATGGATTTTTTTGAACTAAAATATTGAATTGACTTCTACGTCTCTTTAGTCTCCCTTAATCTAGAACATGTTCCCTTATTGCAATCATTATTCCTTTGGGAGGGGGGCAGGGATTGAACCCAGGGATCCTTAACTACTGAGCCACCCCAGCCTTTTTTTGAGACAGGGTTTCGCTAAGTTGCTTAGGGCCTTATGCAGTTGATGGGGCTGGCTTTGAACTTTCAATCCTCCTGCCTCAGCCTCCTGAGCTGCTGGGTTATAGGTATGCACCACTGTACCTGGCTTAAGCCTTTTTTATTTTGAAACAGTGCCTTACTTAAGTTGCTTAGGGCTTTGCTAAATTGCTGAGGCTGGCTTTGAACTTGTGATCTTCCTACCTTAGCCTCCTGAGCTGCTGGGATTATAGGCGTGCACCACTATGCCTGGCTTATTACTCCTTTTTCATATTCCTTATTGTCCCAGTTTTGGTCAGAGAAAGCTCACCATTTATTCTGAGGTGTGTTCATTGCAAAGTGATATAGCACACAGGTACATATGTAGGTACAAATCCAGGTTAGACCTGTTTCCATCAGCGACTGACAGATCTTAGAAAAATTATTTAACTATCAGAGCTAATGTCCTGTTTTACAAATGAGGGGAATGCCCACCTTCCAGGGTTATAATGAATAGTGAATGAACTTACAACCATATATACATGTTTGGGATGTATATTTGTGATTCTGTGCCACAGGCATATCAGTTACCTTCCTCTACTATTTAAGCCTAGCATACAGGCAATATTCAGCAAATCTGAGGTAAGCAATACATCTGATGTCTGGTAACATTTTTACCACCAATTTGTGTGCATTTTTACACAGGTATGTGGAATCCATCTGTTCTGGACTATAGAGAGTCACATGACAAAGAAAAGATGGGAGAAGGTATCACCAGATATGGCATAGTAATATGCACTTGCATTTAGGATTTACTAGACCTTTAAGGAGGGGTAGACATGATGTGGAGGAGAAGATGCAGGAATATAGGGGTGAGTGGGTCCTGAATAGCCTTGTGGTCTGGCCAGGGCAGGTCCCTAATTTCTGTGACATTCTAAGTACTAAGAGATAATGCTGTAAGGTTGGGGATATAGCTCAGCTGTTAGAATGCTTGCCTCGCATGCACAAAGCCCTGAGTTCAATCCCCAGCACGACAAAAAAAGAAATAATGCTGGGTTTTGGCATACAGTGTCCAACCAACTCTGTTTTGAGTTACAGGTGATTTGTCATATGAAGTCTGACTAAAGGAAAATAGTGGGAATATTGGGTTAGTAATTTTTGTGTTATGACAGGTTGTACAAAAAATGTTCTGGACACTTGTTTTGTGTACAGTGTTTTAGACTCCTTTTGCAAATGCATTAGAAAGCATATTTTCACCAATCTAGAGAGGCACAGGATAAAGTCTTAGCACATCTTTCACCAAACAGCTTCTTTCAAGTTTACTAGAAATCTTCACTGAGAAGCAAAATTTAGGTAACTGTGTATTAGTGAGGTCTGAACACAATCCCTGGGTTCACCTGTGTCCTGTACACATGCCTACTTGTCCTGGTTCTCATGTCTTTGGGAATATTATTTTAAAATCTCTCATCTGTTTTTCAACACTGAGCTCAGGTCCCCAAAGCATAAGCTATAATGCTGAAGGAGGGCATCTAGAAAATTAGGAAGTATGTGGGCTGCAGGTAATGGCAAAATAGAGGCAGGAGGCAAATAAATGGATGTGCCTCAACATGCTCTAAACCTGCTTGCCCAGGCCTTGGGAGGGACCAGACTCTAACTGCGTAGGTTCATCATTCCCACATCAGTCTTTTTTCTCATCAAAAACCACAGTCGCTACATAATAAAGATAAGAAAGCTGAGAATTCCCTGACTGTACTACCATTTGATTCTCTCCTTCCAATCATACTTAAAAAAATATTTTTTTCTAGTTGTTGATGGACCTTTATTTTTATTTATTTATATGTGATGCTGAGAATTGAACCCAGTACCTCACACATGCAAGGCAAGCACTCTCCCATTGAGCTACAACCTTAGCCCCTCAATTATATATATTAAATAAATATAATAAATATATAATATATAATAAATACACATAATAAATATAATAAATATAAATATATATTATATATATAAAATTTATATATATATATATAAATATTTATTGTTTAGTTTTCGGCAGACACAACATCTTTGTTTGTATGTGGTGCTGAGGATTGAACCCTGCGCTGCGCGCATGCCAGGCAAGTATGCTGCTTGAGCCACATCCCGAGCCCCTAAATCATATATTTTTGAAAACTGCTCTTAAATAGAAAAGGAAATAAATGTGAAATAAGCACCCAAGTTTAAGCTTTCCCAGAACACCACAAATATGGAATAAAATCCAGTGTTTTTTTTTTTCTGGTGGTGTTGGGGATTGAACCCAGGGCAACTGAGCTATATCTCCAGTCATCAGTATTTTTTATTTTTTTTTAAATGGAAAAAGAAAACCAGAATGAGAACCATCACTTCAGGAAAAACAAACAAGTAACACTTATCAAGAAAGATATTCAAGAAGGGAAGTCTATTTTCAGTGGGTGATGCATACTATTTGCCAGAAATTCTACTAGGACCTTGGGAAACACAGCAGATGAAAACACTGTTCCTAACGAGCCATAGGTTATTCCTAGGAGAGTCCTGTAGGCAGCATTTCAGCATAAAGTATCAAGTGTTATGACTGATGCATGTACGTGGTATACTATGGGAGTACACAGAAGGGCAATTTAGCACTTCCTGGGTTTTGAAGGAAGGTGTTCTAGAGGAAAATGTTGTTAGCCAGATTTTAAAAAAATCTGTGAAAAGTAGGCATTATGATTTTGCAAAGTTGATAAATGAAATTTAGAGACAGGTCACACAGCTCATGGTAAAGGAACCCAAAGTCAAATCTGAGGAGGAAAGCAATAATTTGGAGACTACCATGGTCTCCCTTCACTATGACACAGAAAGAAAAAGAAGGTCCGTTTCCATAAATAGTCCTAGTCTGTGTCCCCCTTTGGGAGGCTCCACTGTCATCTGCCCCTCCCTATGATTTTTGATAAGATGAAAGCAGAACTTCATGAAGTATCTTGGCACAGAGAATCTAGCACCTGGAACTACAGACATTCTGCCCTTCTCCTGGTGTTATTTCTTTGGAGTGTCTACAAGCTCTGCAGACAAATGGATCATCAAGCATCAGAACTTGGCAGTCCAAACCCAGAGTCAGAGGCTCAGAAGGGAAATGTTGATCTAATTCTGGGCTTAGCTACAACCAACAAAAAAGAAACCAGAAGCACTCAGAACTATTCAGATTATTCACACATCAGGGCCCTAGTAAAAGGATGTTTGGGGCCATAGAAACTTTAAGAAGTGATTCACTGGAGATTTTGTAAAAATTAAGGTGGGAAGTAGAGCCACTTGTGCTGTGCCTGTCCTACCAGGCACATCCCTGGTCACATCCATGCAGAGCTCAAGCTCACCCCAGGTTTTCAGCAACAAGGGAATGCTTTGGCAGGGTGTCCCCTGAGGGCTGGGTTGTTTTTCCAAGGGGAAGGTGGAACTTAGAGGATACTTGGCAAGCACTCAAAACTCACCAACTGCCAAATATGCTTAATATTCCCAGCCATAACCTCAAAGCACCATGGGAGATGTAAAAAAATAAATAAATAAATGAGATCAGCATTCTTGATTCTCTGTCCTGGGCCAGAGGTTGCCACATTAGCCACGTGGTGAGGACAGACTGAGAGAGCAAAAGACATGCTAGTGGGGGATGCCTGAGGTGGCTATAACAGTGTGACAAACACAACACTCCTCACAGGTCCCCCTCTGTCATCAATTAATGGAAGGGCCTAGGAGAAATGACTGCAAGAAAATAGGTTAAAAAAAATCACTGGTATTTGGGGCACAGTGGTACATACCTGTAGACCCAGCTACTCAAGAGGCTGAGGCAGAAGGATAACTTGAGCCCAAGAGTTTAGGAGCAGCCTGAGCA